CTGTTGCTGCATGCAGATTTTCCAAAACATTCTGTTACCAGGCCCCCTATCTTCTGTCTTCTTCTCTTTAGCTGTCTCCTCCAGACCTATATATGTGCAGCTTCCACATTTCTCCTGAAACCAACGTCCATATTTATAAATGCCATCTCACTGGGATGCCTGAAAACACCCCCACCACATCTGCGGGGAAGTTCATTCTGCTGTCTGGCAGCTAATCTTGAGTTCTGTATTTCTCTGAATGGGGCCGACATGCTTTGTCTTCAGGCACAAAACATTTGAGTCATCCTGGACTCACTTCCTCTGTTCTGCCCACCTCCACACAAGGAAGCCCTCTTCTCATTTCTTATCCCTCTGCGATGTTCCTTTCATTTTTCCAGATGGCTTCAATGAAATGATTGGGCAGATAATAAATACTTAGAGGCCAAATTAAGTAAGGCAGGTCAATTGTTATTAATAGTTTGCATTACAGCTTATCATTTACATTAGCTGGCAATGCTTGAGTAGTAAGAAATTATTGACTTAATTTTAGAGAAAATAACAATGAAGTGGTTCTTATGCTTTCTTTAACAGAAACCTCAAAATAGAACACCTAGCACCTTCTCTTGCATCCCTGGCCTGGAGCCCTCCAGGAGGTAGGGCTTTGTTTTAGGCACTGCTTATGGTCTGGCTCTTTCTCCTTGGCATTTATCTGTACCTACTCTCCCTCTTCAGAGGTCTTGCTCCTCACTCACTGCAGACTTCCTGCAGGTCCCTCTGTGGACCCTCGAGGGCTGGGAAGTGGAAGCTGGGGAAGTGGTGGCAATAACCACTGAGGTGGTCCCTCCAAGCTGGGGAGGGTCAGCAAAAGTGAGAAGGATGGGGCATCTGGTGATCCAGTGGTTTAGTATCTGCCTGCCAAGGCAGGGGACGCAGGTTTGATCCCTGCTCCAGGAAGATTCCACATGCAACTAAGCCTGTTCTCTAGAGCCTGCTAGCCACAACTACTGAAGCCACAACAATGAGAAATCTGTACACTGCCATGAAGAGTAGCCCCTACTTGCCACAACTAGAGAAGGCCCACATGTAGCAACAAAGACCCAGTGCAGCCAAAATAAATAGAGTTAAAAAATAAAAAGTTAATTGGCAAGTAACTAGTTTTAAAAAACAGGTTTCTTATTACTCAAGCACTTTTTTTAAACGTGAGAGGGAGGGGAGAGCAACAACAGAAGGATAATCTCCTTGGGTCAGGGGGACCACACGACCTCCACTCTCCTCTGTGAGCCAGGGTGTAGAGCTGGAAACCCTCTGGGTTCAAACTTCCAGTTTTCACTGGGGCTGATTCTTTGCAGCCCAACTCCAAGGGCAAAGCAAGCCCATGAAGGCTGACTAAAGAGTTGTTCAAAAGCATGGGATCTATAGAACCTAAAACAGACCCAAATCAATAGAGCTTTCACTTGAAAACCTATAAATAGTTTCCTGAAACCAGCCCTTTGCCTAAGATCATGGGACACTGTCTCCTCTGTGACACTGCTCGCTCCTCCACCTCCAAGAGCCCAGGACAGACAGGGGTCAGGGTGTATGCCCACAATGGACATGGTTGCTACCTTCTAAACATGCCAGTATGTATACGGGGGTATAGCTCTATGGGTGTGCCTTTAGAGAACCTTAAATTTTAAAGAAATGACCATAATCTATAATTAACTCCTATAAGTATTCAGTGGCAAATGAACAATGGCCTGAGTTTAGGCAGGACATAGGTAGACCCCTCTGAGGTTACAGCAAACGCCCAGCCTCTATCTAGGGAGAGGCCTTACCTCATCCCATTGGAGAACCTCCCTCTAATCCTTTGGTTCCACTACCTTTAGTCTTTAGTGCGGGACCATCCAAGACGGATGGGTCATGGTGGAGAGGTCTGACAGAATGTGGTCCACTGGAGAAGGGAATGGCAAACCATTTCAGTATTCTTGCCTTGAGAACCCCATGAACAGTATGAAAGGGCAAAAAGATAGGACACTGAAAGATGAACTCCCCAGGTCAGTAGGTGCCCAATATGCTACTGGAGATCATTGGAGAAATAACTTAAAGAATGAAGGGATGGAGCCAAAGCAAAAACAACACCTGGTTGTGGATGGGACTGGTGATAGAAGTATGATTCGATGCTGTAAGGAGCAATATTGCATAGGAACCTGGAATGTTAGGTCCATGAATCAAGGCAAATTGGAAGAGGTCAAACGAGATGGCAAGAGTGAATGTGGAAATTCTAGGAATCAGTGAACTAAAATCGACTGGAATAGGTGAATTTAACTCAGATGACCATTATATCTACTACTGTGGGCAAGAATCCCTTAGAAGAAATGGAGTAGCCATCATAGTCAACAGAAGAGTC